ATAAATAATTTTAATTTAAAGAGTTAGAAAGTCTTAGGCTTAAGATCCATATTAACACTAATTTAAGGTTTATGTCTCGTTTAACTTTTTAAATTTTTTTCTAAAATTCTCATACCCTAATAAACTATATGCAAGCCTCAAATCACTTCTAGTATCACAATTTTATCTATCTATATTCTAAAAAATTTTCCCAAAAATAAATTAAAAATTTTAGAATTACCCTAAAGCCTCAAATCATCATTTTATAACCTTAGAAATACATATTTATACTTAAATAAATATTTAATAATTAGAGGTTCATCCCTACATCTCAGATTCAACATAAATTCAACCATATAGATCTAGAGTCTAACTTAAAAATTTTTAAACATGAGTTTGAACCTCAAAAAATATTCTATAATATTTATTATATCCCTAAAAACTTCAACCTATATTTTTAATCCATCATATCATCAGATTAACTATCTTTTAGAAAAATTCTAATCAGAATATTGCTCTACTCTACAAAATAATCATATCATTAGAAAGCTAATAACTAAAAAATTAATTTTGTAATTAAATAATTTTTTAAATGCTAATTTAAATAGAAAAGTTGGAGCATACCTAAAGAAAAAAAAATAAACCCCCTTCCATGAGAAGGTAGAGCAACATGAGAGGGGGAGAGAGATGGAAAAAAAATATAAAAATAAAATTATGGGTCTCACAATTATATTATTAAAAAAATTATAGATTTAAATTTAATTATTTAAATTATTGAGCTATTAGTTGTAATTTTTACAAATTGCTTAATGCCTCCTTTTTGCCCCAACTGATGCGTGTGCTTTTCTTTTATACATGAGGGGGCACTTTCTCTTCTCACATCTAACCGATGTAAGACCTAAAAAGAAAGCCTTCTCTCTCTATTTTTTTTTACTTACACACACACACAAAAAAAATTATTTATATATTTTAAATCTTAAAATTATATCTTAACTAAACATTTCTTTTGTAATTTTAAACCTAAATTTTTAATTCATAATTAAATGCCTAACTGTAATATTATTTCTAAATAACCTCAAATAATATAAATTCCTATTATTATCATTTTTTATCCTTAATAAAATCTAAATTCCACAATTTATTTATTATCTAAAAATCAAGATGTTACAAAAAACATCAAATTTGTTAAAAAATAAAGCAATGCATCGTGCCTTGTGCATATTGCGCCGCAACGTGTTGCTATCTATGCCACGTATCGCGGCTCAAGTGCCAATGCATCGTAATGTGTTACACATTTTTTACAGCAGAATTAGGCAACTTCTGGTGTGTTTTAAATCTCCATTCGATGTTTGAATGACATGATCTAGTTGCTATGGAAAGTTTTTTTCATAATCTATCTAATGACACCGGTTTCTCTCCCAAAACAAGTCACATCAATCAAAGTAAAAATAAGTTACGAAAGCATGAGATACCTCATATGAGCAAAAGAAGTTGAAAAACATCAAATTTGTTGAAAAACAAAGCAATGCATCATGGCTTGTGCATATCGTGCCACAGCATGTTGCTATCTGTGCCATACACCACGGCTTAAGTGCCACTGCACCACAACGTGTTGCACATTTTTTACAGCAGAATTAGGCAACTTTTAACGTGTCCTAAATCTCCATTGATGTCTGAATGACATGATCTAGTTGCTATGGAAAGCTTTTTTTCATAATGTAGCTAATGGCATAGGTTTCTTTCCTAAAACAAGTCACATCAAGAAGTTAGATACCTAAACACATTTTTATCACTTTTGACAACTTTCACACATAAAAAGGTGTCTAAAACTTATAACAAGTGTCAAAAGCTATTTCTAACAACCAAACCATATTCACTAGACCTAAAACTACTAATACAACACATCACATACACTTAAGTACTAGTATAACACAAAATTATTTCTTAACCCTTTTAACACCAAAAACAGAAGGAGAGGTAATTTTATTGCATTGCATTTGAATTCAATCATAATATGTTTAAAACAACTCTACTACACTTGCACTAGTATTTTAGCACTATCAACATATTTAACTCATTATACACAATTATTTAGGACTCAAAATACAACTCAGACAATTTAAACAACTTTATAGTGCAAGTGTAATAAAATGTATCCTAGAATTGGCAATAATATTCTATTAGACAAAATAAACAACATTTAGAGGCCTATACTAGAAATGTATGGATCCCTAAGCCTCAAGAGCTTTATCTTTCTCAAAACCAGAGCTAGAGCCTTAAAGAGTTAAATGAAAGGGATGAGTTTAGTCACTTAGTAACTAAGGTAAAAACCTACCTTGTGCAGTTATATATCAATTGTAATAAAACACATGCATATGAAATAGAGTTCTTAAAACATGCATGAATACATAACACACAACTTATCCTTACTCATTTAGCTCATTTTCATCTTAACGCACGGTACATTGTCACAAAACATTTAGACATGTGACCATAACCCAATATATCAACACGACTTGTCACAACTTAAACATGGGACAAGTCATATAATTACATAAGTAATGATCAATCAATCTTATACCCTCTTTATTTTTTCTGACTAAAACCATAAGCTATAACATTGAATAGTGCTCTATCCATGTGACCGGACTATCCAAGCTCACCAATTGTGAGGTGCGACCTGGCTAAAGATCACATAACTCAATCTTAAATCACGATTTCCCCTACTCTCAAATTTTTAGGGTGTCGTATACCTTAAGCTAATTTTTTTTGATAAACTAGTGGAGAAAACCAGGTTTTAGTCCCTTGACAAATTATGGGGCAGTCCCTCGATCAGCAGTAGGATAAGGCTATACTCCTGTGCATTAGAGGGCAGCTAAAATACCATATGAAGTTTTTTCTCTACTCTCAAACCCTAGGCGAACTCATGCCCATTGATCATGCCATGTTTGATGCTCACTATTTTCACAATCTCATTGCTTCTTTATTATAAATCAATATATTGGGCTCACGACTATACACTACCTAAGTGAGCATCAAGTCTCATTTCACATAAACACATATATTCTCATTTTTAATCCTAGCGCATTCATCATTATCATTCTCAACATCAATTAACCATCATTATAGAACTCAAAACTCATTTCAAAATCTCTTTGCATTTATAGTTCAAACCAAAGCAATTATATAAGCACATGAATTCATAACGTGTTATCTATATTCATAGAACATAATTGTCATTCTAAACACTTATATCATAATACAATTAACATATAACTATCCAAAATAGAGTTTTCCCGATTACCTTAAACCTTTAAGAGGTCAAAGGTTTATCCCTCAATATTCTAGTTTTCAAGCTTAAATTCCCAAGCCAAAATTTGGCGTCTAAGAGCTTAATCTACAATTTACCAAGTTAACCTTCATTAAGAATGTCAAGAGCACACTACTAACTCACACTTTCACTTTCCCATCTTCTTAACAACATTGATTTCACCATTTAGGCTTATCTATTAGATTTATTAACTCTTCTTAGTCCCCAATAGTATTAATGAGCCATTAAATTTTTATTTATAGCATCACAACTACCCCAGCAACCATCATTAATGAAATTTTTGGATATTTGTGAGGTTAACTAACCAAAAATCCCACAACTAGTTTAGATACTCTAATCTATTCTCATTAACTCTATTTGAGTCAATAGATTCAGATCCATAATCTATAGGAACTGACAATCATCTCCCACTATCAAACTTTAACCATAAAATTCATAAATGTAGAAGAGATAGGAAGAAATGAGTGTAGGGTGCTTACCTTTAATGTTTAGTAGCCCTAAAATAATCCCAATATCATCAAGAAACAAACCCTAGCAAAGTATAAATCATCCTCTTTGTTTTTTCCCTTTCTCTTCTTTCTGTTTCTGCCTCAGTTCATGAGTTATAACCTGTAGAAAATGGCCACGTGACGCGGTGAACACTGAACGTGACGCAACATATGGCATAGAAAGGTCCCTTTCTTGCTTCAATTATGTCTGTGCATCGTGGCGAACGTATTTCACGCCGCAGCTTGTGGCACAGAAACACTCTTTCCTTGTTTTCTTCTCTCTTTCGATGCCCAGTTGTCTCGACTTATCATCGGACCCACAATTAGGGTTGAAACACAATCAAAACTAGTCATTAGACCTCCTTAACCACACATCACGTCAATTTACTTAATTATCATTATTAAGTTTAGTTAGTCAGGGGGATTAAAATTTAGGATGTTACACGACATTTGTGCACATACAACAACATGTGGCACAATGCCATTTCCCTTTCTTTTTCTTCCATCTTAAGGTCTGGGTGTCTTAACTCCATTTTGAACTTAATCTTAAGTCTGAAATTACAACCCAAAATATCTATTAGCTTTCTGTAATCATACACCACATTAATTGCCTAATTAATTTCATTTAACACAGCTAATTAGGGATTAATTTTCAAGGATGTTACATTTATTGTTAGGTTTTCACTTAATTTCATTTCAAAAAAAATAAACAAATAAAGTATGATAATTCTGATATCAATTTAAATCAGTACATCTAGTTGTAGTAAAATTTTAAAAATTTAAGAACTTTGAATTTGAGTAATTCTGGTCCAAGAATCTTTATTGAAATTCTCCCAAAAATATAACTTTAATTTATGTTGTTAAAAATTAATTTTTTAAAATAATTTTAATTCATGAAAAAAATAAAAAAATTGTATAGGATGGCACTGTAGAACTGCTATGCCAACAAGGAGATTTTATACTTATTTGTTTATGAAACAAGTGATGTTTGAACATAAAATTATGGAAACTATGAAATGAGATGTCGTTGGGGTCTAAGGGGTCGCGGTGGGTCACGGTCAGCAACATGGGGAAGAAGAAATAAGAGCGCCAACCGTTGCTGATAAGCAAATCCCCACCAAAAGCGACGCAACACGTGTCAGCCGCACGATTTTTGGATATTTTTTGCTTCATTTTTGTCGCTCTAAATCTCCGCCAGACGTAGGCGCTGAAGCGCGGTTGAGTTGAGAGAGGTCGGAAGCCAAATAATAAGATACCTAACATTCTCGAGCTACCTTCGTTTGAATTGAATCGCGTGGGAATTTAGAGTCTACCTTCTCAGAACTCAGAAGAAGAGAATACAAGAGATGGCAGCAACTTCATTGTGTTCATCGACGCTCCAATCTCAAGTCAATGGATTGGCTGGTGGACTCAAGCTTCAAAAGACTTCTCTCTTCCAGCCTCGTTCTGTCACTTTCTACAGGTATTGCTGCTATTTATTAATGCCCCTTGTTCTCTGAATCAGTGGGATTGATAATATATTAGAAATTGTGTGCTCGGGAAGCTAATGTGTTGTTACAAAAAATCCCATTGCTGAGCATTTCATAAATTTTCTGTAGAGACCTTGAATTGTTGATTATAACCACCATTTTCCTGATAGCGGCTGTTAGATAGAAACGCTCTGGAATCTCTTCTGCGGTGATGGGTGTCTATGGCAGTACCTTCTTCTGGATGAGAGGATCGGTTTTTGCTTGCGGGATCTACAAAATTTAGGAAATTATGCGCTTCTTTTCCTTTTGTGAAAAGTTTATTTACCCTTGCATGAAGAGAGAATTGCATTCGAAATTAAGGATTGATTCTTCAACATCTACGCATCACTCCTCACTGATATTTTAATAACCCCATTTCAGTATGGTACCGTGATTATGGGAATATTGTACGATTTACTTTACACCACCCCACATGCATGCATTGTCTCTTTCTTTTAGTCGTTCGGTAGGGCATCGATGACCTTTTATGCTGGTCAGAGACTCAAATGGCTTTATTTTTATGCACCCGTGACATTGCTTTGGCACAAATCTTGTTTCCACTTTCTATATTTAATATCAACTGATGATGTTTGAAGTATTCCATCCATACTAGGCTGAATAGAATGTTAAATCCATTCACTGTGAAATCCATCTGCTTGTCTGTGGCTGCTTTGTGTTCAGGTTGAGTACTGAAATGATATGCAGCATGAATGTGTATTCAGCGAAGTGCATGTTCATGCAATTCCTAGTCATGCCATGCTTGTAGGACTTGCATAATTGTATATGTTTGTTACATGTGCCTTGTGTTATTTCAATGTAACGGATATCTTGTCGCTTTTATAGCCTTTAATTACTTGCTATTTTATGGATTTAGGAGGAAGCTGACTACTACAGTGAAGGCTATGTCTCGTGTTGACAAGTTTTCTAAAAGTGACATCATTGTTTCTCCTTCCATTCTTTCTGCTAACTTTGCAAAGTTGGGAGAGCAGGTTTTATATCATCTCTCATTGCTTTAGTTAGTATCCAGATTTTAGTTTTTCTACCAAACACCTAGGACACTGGTTGAACACTCAACATGACTATAATGTCTAATTATATAATTATCTTATCAAGTCTGCAAGAAAATCTGTCTTTTTGCCTGCAAGTTATTATTAATATGTTTCTGATTTAAAATTGTCAGTCATGCTTGATGGAGTTTTACTCGTGTTATATAGGTAAAGGCTGTGGAATTGGCAGGCTGTGATTGGATCCACGTGGACGTGATGGATGGACGTTTTGTACCAAATATTACAATTGGGCCTCTTGTGGTTGATGCTCTGCGCCCTGTGACAGACCTCCCATTGGATGTGCACTTGGTATTCATCTTTATATGCATGTAAATCAAGCTGACATTGAAAAACTTGCTCTTTTTCTGATGCACATTTAAGAACTGCAGATGATTGTAGAGCCTGAACAGCGAGTCCCAGATTTTATCAAGGCAGGAGCTGACATAGTTAGTGTTCATTGTGAGCAATCTTCCACCATCCATTTGCATCGTACAGTTAATCAAGTAAGACTTTCTCTGATCCATCTACTTTTTGAGTAATGCAGCTGCAATTGAAACCAAGAGGACTAACAAAAGGCAAGCATTTGTAAAATCGGAGGAACTAGAAGTTTGTTTAAAACCTATGATGTTTGACACATAATTTCAGAACATTCTTGTAAGGGACCAGTAACCACCATACATAATATTGATGTTACAAGATGAGAGTCTAATACTCCAAACAGTGAATCAATGTCTTCACTGTCACCAATGTTTGTTGGTTGGTAAGTTTGAGCATATACCTACCTAATCATGATGTGGATGAAAAGACTTGGTTAAAGCAAGTTAAGGGATGGTTAAAGAAATGGCCATTGCAATTCTTTTTTGTTGTTTAGGATATCAACCCAATTGTTGTTTATGAATACAGTTTCTCTGGATGTCTCAAAGTGATCTTTTGCATCAAGCATTTGAGCTCAGAAAAAGTGGATATAATCTTTGAATAAACTTATATCTATTTTATGTCAGATCAGGGCAATTCTTAAACCGTGATTGGGTTTAAAGTAAAACCTTGTTATATATATACATATATATTTTCTAAAAAATAAACCTTTCACTCATACAGGGTCTCACAAATGTTTCTGAGATGAACACGTGATGAACAAAATTATTTCATTCCTTTTATTTTACCTTTTATTGGTAGCTTTGGGTTAATGATGATTCATGGCCCATTTAGGTCATTATACGATACTGTAGGAGACATAGTTCTCCTCAGGTAGCCAGAGCTACATGGATTTGTCTCTGCCCATATCGTTCCTGTTAAGGTACATTTGCCTCTTCATGCCCAATTCGGTATTGAAGATGCTAAAGAAAATTATAATTGGCCAAATGTTCGGGGTTTTGCAACCTCATACATGCTCAGTTTTCCCCTTTTCTGATGCTATCTTTTCACCATGGCACAAAATATGTGGTCTTACTATTGTGTACATTTCAGAACTGGTCTCTTTCTTCCAGCTCTACTGGCTCTCCCATGCTTCCAACTAAATGATGGGATACTTCCATTTAGGGGCATTGGAGTTCAGGAATTGTTCCTTGGAAAGTGTTTTTCACTTCAAGTTGTCGTTTAATTGATCTTATTGCATTCTCTTGATACAGGTGAAAGGCTTGGGAGCCAAAGCTGGAGTTGTCCTAAACCCTGCTACTCCATTAAGTGCAATCGAATATGTAATTGACGGTGAGCAATTGCAGTTATTTTTCCTTTTTTTATTTGTGTATTTATTTGTTTTTATTATATAATGGGAGTATAAACATTAAACAATGTGCATTAAGAGCTTGGTCTGAACTATGGTTTCTAAGCATTGCTTTATTAGCCATGAACAAACACAAGCTCTTGCTTTCGGCTTGGTTCAGAATAGAAAACATAGCATATTGGAAGCCGTCAGTAATCCATAAATCCCATCACTGAATAAATTGATGTGTTATAAATGAATCTTTACATTACTAAATTGGAGAATTTCTCACTAGCTTTTTATTATATTTGATGTTGGGATGCCTTGGGGAGGTTTTCATTATATACACAAAATTGATTGCCTTCACTTTGGGGGATGTTCCTATTTAAAGTTTAGGTAATAAAGAAATTTGGACAACTAAAGTGTTATCAGTTGCTGACAGTGGTTGATTTGGTCTTGATTATGTCTGTCAACCCCGGGTTTGGTGGCCAGAGTTTTATAGAGAGTCAAGTAAAGAAAATTTCTGATTTGAGGAGACTTTGTGCGGAAAAGGTATGATGTAACATTTTTGTTTATTTTAACTTTCCTCTTTTGCGTAAATTCTAATTGCATTTCTTTTTTCAGGGAGTGAATCCATGGATTGAAGTGGACGGTGGAGTTGGTCCAGCAAATGCTTACAAGGTGCCTTGTGCTTATATCATCTTCAATCTGTAATATTTTTGAAAAAGATTTTCAGAGTGTTCTACTTGCTGAAAATAATCTGATTAAGGATAAGGATCACTGAAGTCCTTGGGGAAGATAACCACAAAAAGATATATGAAAGCAACTGTGTCTACCTTGTCAAGTAGAGCAAGTAAACTAGCATAAATAATTCTGGGGCAACTTGTGAAAAGGTCCTTCAACTAGTAAGCCATAAGCTGGATCATTTGACTTGCAAGGTCCAATTTTTAGTAATATCTGTTTTGGCAGGTGATTGAGGCTGGAGCTAATGCTCTGGTTGCTGGTTCTGCTGTGTTTGGAGCTAAAGATTATGCTGAAGGTACAACATGGAGAAAATGTTTGTCCGTGTCGTTGGGCATTATTGGTAATGGATGGCAATTTATTATCATCTTGACGTATTTTCATGATCTGAACTCACTTGCAGCAATAAGAGGAATCAAAACCAGCAGAAGGCCCGAAGCAGTTGCTGTATAATGTACTTCCCGAGGATGCTGTTAATTTGCCTGTAATGTAAGTTATAATCTCACCCACCATGAAGGTTTCTTCACTAAATTTTTACATTCAAGTTCTTATTGGGTGTTGAATGTCAAAATTTGATCCGCCTTTGTAGGAAAGAATCAAAGAACATAATGGTGGACATTGCTTCTGAAGCTGTTTTACAACATAACAAATAATCATATGATGCAATGTAATAGGAGAGGAAATTCTTACATTCATTTCCTTGAGGATAGGCACAAAGAATGAATTAAGATCCACTAAAATAGATGTGTCGATGAACCCCGCCACTTCAAACACTTGCCTTCGCAGCTTCGCAAGCTTTTGTTTGGCACTTATAACTAGAATTTTTCTTAGAGTTACAATAAAAATTAGAAAGTATATGCTCAAGCACGATTTAAATATTGTTCTCACAAGGTTTACTCTATATGATCTTTACAGACAATATCCATGAATAAGCAGCCATATTAGACATCGCGTTGTCTGGCTTGCCGTCACCAATTGCTACCGCTTGTCGTGAATGCACTATATGAACCCGGTCTAAGGCTGCTGCTGAGAAGCGTAGTTTGTGTAGAATGTTTTTGGTGGGTCGGAACTGACTCTGTACAAGTTGGATCACTGTAACCTCTCATGTTACAACTTGTAAAGCAATTATGCATTGTGACCGTACAGGGATGGTTGTATTCATGAGATGATTTCTCTCAGTTGACACTTGTTACCACTTTTCTTCATTCCCCGGCTTTATTTGTGCCTAGTAGTAGACAGTTCCTGTTTCTGTCTGTCTCGATCCCAAGTGGTCAAAGAAATGAAATAAGCTCAAAATAGAGATATTCTTTAGTTGAAATTAGATCATGAATCTCATATTCATACGTAATTAAACTGCATTTATATATATATATATATATATATATTTATGAATGTTTGATTCTATATATACAAGCATACGCACAGATTTTGTATATAGTGCATCTATGTGATTTTAATCTTTTTGAGCTCTGAAATAAGCTGAAGATTATTGACAGAGAGGAACGTGGAAAAGGGATGTGCCTAGGTATCCTGCTAACGGGGACATTGTGGGGGCTTTGCGCAGAATACTTTAAAAAATAATCGTCTTTGTTATATATTATTAGATGCATAACAATTAATGTGTTCGCATGCATGTGTTTTTGCCAACAAAACACAGTTACATAATTGTCCAAATGCTGAATCAAATCAGGTAAAATTTGTCCTTTCTGTGTCTTTATTTTTCTTACATTTTTATTATTAAAAAAAGCAAAGAGACCACCCTGAGAACATTCCAACGATAATAAGATTAATATTTAATACTTTTTTTGTTTTAAATTATAAAATATTTTTAAATAAAATCTCACATATCAATAAACTTTATTAAATATATTTAAAAATATTATCTTTTCAAAATAAAAATATAAATTTTCAAAAATAATCTTCATTTAATATATTAAAAAGAGAAGGGATGATTGTTAATTATAGAGAGAGAAAGGGTAATATTGAAATAAACTTATTTAATCAAACTTTAATTTTTTAAAAGTATCTTATATTTTAGGATGTCGAATCTCTCTCATAAATGTCTTATAATTTAAGACGAAAGGAGTACATTTCTAAACAAAAGGTGCCATTGTAGCTATGATCAATATATCAACTTTTACAGTAGTGCATTATTCTGTTTTTAATTAATAGATTTTAATTTGTATTGTAAATTGTTTGAAAAATAAGTTTTCGGGTTATTAAAATTTTATATTATACAATATAGATATAAATATAATATACCTAAGTTATAAATAATATATTCATTATTATAATATAACAAAATTAATGTGGGATTTATGTATTTATATAGAAATACTTCCTCCATTCTTAATATAAGCCCTGATTATCAATTTTTTATCCATAAATATAAGTCTTAATACTACAATTTATAGGCATAATTAATACTTGTTTTATCTAAAGATATCCCTTATGGAAAATATAAATTTTATCCTTAAATTTTTATAAGTTGATGTGCCCTTTCCCATGAGATTAAATAGAAAGTGAAAATGACGATGGAGGAAGTGCAAAACAAACTAGTACATCCAGTCCTAATTTTAACAACTAGTTGTTTTTATTCATAGATATCAAGAAAACATGTTATTAATTTAGTTGATGTTTAAAATATTACTATTTCTTTACGGTTTTTTTTTCCAATTAAACTATTATGTTTATAGACTAATTTCGAGTAAATGAGGATGGTTGTGTTAGGCTCTCAATAAGCAATATAAAACTTTATTGAATCTCATATGGATATAGACAATATATGCTTTTGTGCTAATATTAGGTTGTTGCTCGTAAATAATGCATTGCATGGTTCAAGGACAATGTCAAGTGAGTTAGAATCACTACTTGAGCACCCCATGTAGTGTTAAATAAGCAAGGACTATCGTGTTATTCTAGATGAATGTAGCTAAAGAAGTTAGTTCATAAAAACAAGATCAGATTTGATATTTAGAACGTTGAGACCTTGACTTGTAAATCATAATTCATAAAAAAATTAATATCTTATGCTGTAGGAAACTAAATGACTCAGTGAACAAGCAAAGAATATTCAAAATTTCAAATGTTAAGATGTAGGGAAAGTAAGTGCATGGAATGAGATAGGTATCATTATTGATGAGAAGCAGAAGAAGAATGTGGTAGAAGTTATAAAAATTTAGGGCATAATTATTTCCTTAAAAATAGTTTTTTAGACGTGAAACTGTCAATACTATTAGCGTTTATACACCTCAGGCGAAGCAGAAGTCAGTCTTAAGGAATTGTCTTAGACAAACTTGAAGGGGTTGATTCAACACATGTACAAAGTGAAAATATTTTTATTGGAGGAGACTTTAATTGTCATGTTGGGAGGGAGGAAAATAATTATATGAGGGTTCATGGTGGTTTTGGTTCTTAAAATAATGAATGACAATCTATTCTTAATTTCTTTTTGACATATGATTTCAAGATTATCAACACTTGTTTCAAGAAAAGGGATGAACATCTCATTACCTACAAGAGTAGAGCCTCAAAATCACATATTAATTTTTTTTTGACAAGAAACACAGATAAAAGACTCTAAAAATTGAAAGGTGATTCCTAGGGATGGCATAACAACACAACATAGGGCCATTATCCTTAATATGCGTATCACGAGTAAAAGTCAAAAGCACCGAAGTGGTAAATTCAAGGATTAGGTGGTGTCAGCTAAAAGGTGAGAAGTGAGAAATTTTCAAATGAAATCTTTTCGCCAAAGGAATTTAGGAGTTTTAGGAAAATGCTAGCATTTTGTGTGGAAATATGGATAAGAAGGTGAGGAAAGTTGCTAAAAAAGTTTTGGGAGAGTTAAAAGATTTTAGTATGAGAGATAAAGAACTTTGGTGATGGAATGATAGTGTACCAAAAAAAAAAAGCCATACATAAAAATGAGTGTTTTAAAGCCATCCATTTATGCAATAATGATAAAAGTTGAAAAAAGTATCGTATAATTGAGAGAAAATCAAGAAAACTATGAGTAAAGCTCATTCTAAAGTATTTAAAGAGTTTTACAATTGTCTTAGAATAAAGGATGAAGAGCAAAAAATTTGTAAGACTATTAAGAGTAGAGAAAAAGATTAAGAATTTGGAACATGTAAGGTGTTTTAAAGATGAAGAAGAAAGAGTTTTGATTACAAATTGTGATATTAAAGAGTAAAGATAGATGAAAGACTTACTTTTACAAACTTTTTAATAATGAAGGAGGCTCGCCAAGTAACTTAGAAGATTTAATAATTCATAAAGGAGAATAAAATTTTGTCATTCTATCGAAAGATATGTGATAGTAAGATAAATGAAGCTTTTAAGAAAATGACAAATGATAGAGTTATTGAACTTGATTGTATTCCTATTAAAGTGTGAAAATATTTAGGTGAAGAAGGGGTGGGATGACTAACTAAGTTATTTAATGAGATATTGTAATTCAAAAAAATGCCTGATGAATGGAGGAAAAACATTTTAGTTTTTATTTGTAAAAATAAAGGGAATATTTAAAATTGTGCAAACTACAGAAGAATTAAACTTATGAGTTATATAATAAAATTGTAGGAAAGAGTGATTAAGCATAAGTTGAGATTGAAGATTGGTATTGTAACAACCTTGAAAAATAAATAAATGATACTTAAATTAATAATAGCATAAATTGATTGTTTTTATATAAATTTGGCAGTAGGTGCAATGAGATAAGAGTGCTAGTTTATTAGAACTTATATCAATAAATTTTTAGGTTCAAAGTTTGAATTCTATATAATAACCCAAAAATTTAAATAAGATTAAATTTAATGATAAAGTATTTTGATTATATTTGATTATATTTTTATTTTGCAATAATTTTATCAAGAGTGAATGGGTGGCTCAATCGAAATGAGTATGGATGAATACACTCAAGTCCTAAGTTCGAACCCTCCGAGAATATTATGAAGGATTTTTATTTTTGCTTCATTATGAAATTACTATTATGCCCTTAGGAAAAAAAATCTGTGGCAGAGAGCAAAACACGCGCATCCTCTGTTTTTGTTGTTTTTTTTTTTCCTTTCCCAATGTCTTCTTTCCAGCAAGAGATCTAGGAGCTTTGAACAGAACCGCCATCCTCCTTCTTCTTCATCTTTTTTTTCTCGCACTTATTCCGTCACATCCATGGTGTGTACACAAGCTCCACCTGCTGCTGCACGCCGTTGCAAGAGGACGAATCACGGGCTCTTCTTCTTCTGTGCTGTTGCTCATCTCCCTGCTCTCATAGTTGCGATATCATCCTAATTCTCAACTTGATACTCCAGATGTGTTGGCAGTAGCAGCCAGGGGAAATCCTCGATCTTCTCCATCTTCTTTGCGTGCGGTGCTGGTTTTTGTGAGTGTGAGCACAGAGTTTTCCTTCCCTTCTCAGCGTCAAACTATCCCTCTTCCTGGTTCAACATTATCGGCTTTGTTGGTTAGTAAATCTTACCTCTCTTCCCTCCTCCATCTGGTGCTGTTGGTGTGCGAGGAGCTGAGTAGTTAAAGCTGGAGGTTCAGCTTGTAAGTCTCTTTGCTTTGTAGTTGGTTGTTGTGACTCTATTCCTCTCCCTCTCTAGTGCATCGTGTTCAGAAGTTCCCTCCCCTATTTAGCTTAAGGTGCGATTTCTCCTTCCCTTCTCTATCTTCGTTTAGTAATCTGTGATATAAGAACTCCAAGTCTCCTTTTCGTGTGAGTGGGTGTGTGAGTTGATGATTTAAGTTGCAAAATTTTTCCCCTCTGCTGCTGCTGAACGTGACTGTTTAGATATGATTGTATGAAGAAAAAGCTTGATTTAAGTTGAAATTTATGGTCGTAAAACAAGGAGATGATGGAGTAGGTTTGAGTTTAATTGAAGTTGATTGGATTATTGATTATAATATTGTTACTGTAAAATCTTAAGAAAGTGATATTGAGGAAGAAGATGTTAATATTAGCTTAAGGATTGATGCGCATAGAGTGTTCGATTAAATGTCTGTTCGGAGATTTTTGCTTGGTTGTGTATTTTCTGAAATTCTATTGATTTAAGTGAAAAGCATAATTGATTCAAATATTATTCAGTAGAGTTTTAATGTGAGCATTGTAAAGAAATTGTGACATAAATTATGATGTTTAGGGTAATTATGAGTCATTTGGATGAATTATGGTTGTGTAAAAACAAAAAAAATAAAATTAAAATTTAAAATTAAATTCAATTTAGAATCATGTTTTGCTCTTACAGGAAGTTAAATCCTGTTATCAAATTGAATATAGGAAATTTTATAAAGAACTTATCAATGCTTGAGAATTGTATGGTTGGCAATGTATAAGTTTTCATACCCATGTAAGATTTGATTTTAGAATGCATATAAGATGTTTGATGAAACGTTGTAGGAAGAGTGCAAATGTGAACAATGGTATTGTTTAGTTAAAACGTGTCAAGGGATTGTTATGATTTGTTAGGTAAAAAGGAACGTGAAGGACATGAATTTCTTGGGAATGAAAATTAAAAAGATCAGGGTCCATGAGCAATGTAAGAATAGAATATAAGAAGTGAGTAAATAATTATGAGTTTTATAAAATTTTAAAGGTTCAATTGTTATTATATTGGATGTTTCAGGAATAAACCTTGTGGTGAGGGAGGTTAAGGGATAAATTACAATGTTGGGATTATCTCAGGTAAGTGAATAGCGTCCCGACTAATTTTTTTTCCAATCCAAATTTCCTTTACTAAAATATTATATTTTTCTGGAAATTATTTTAATAGCATTAATGTGATTATTGGATATTTGTTGATTAACATTTCTTTATTTTGAGAAATTAGCTTTACCAAATTTGAAATGTTATTTGATCAATTAAGTCATGTTTGAACTTTAATTATGAAATTTTTATTTTATCAAATATTAGATTGATACAGAGAATGATTCATGCGAGATCGACATTGAAAACTTTTTTTTTATTCAATAAATGCAAGCATGAGCATCGGATATGAAATTTGATTCTAGCAAGTTTTAATGCTTAAAAGTATTCATGTGAGTTTGATTTTGAGAATGAGGATTGTATCCTGAAAGTGATAATTTTCTTGCATGTTGGAAAATAATTTTAAAAAGGGATTTTGTACAGAACATTGGTTGCTAACGGTAGTTCCGTTAGCCCTTGGCGCGCCATGGTACACCTAGCTAGCAAGGTATTTATAGGAGGTACTAGCCTTGTGCAATGGCTAACGCATGTGGAACGGAGGGATAATTATTTATGAGCATTATACTCATGTTTGTTTCGTGGCTTCAAGCCTCGTTTGGTTAGCATTATTCTCATGGACTATGTGTCCACGTTTGTTTCGTGGCTTCGACTGCATTTGATTACTTACCCTCGTGTATTGTGTGTCCACGTTTGTTTTCGTGGCATAAGCCGTGTTTGGTTACTTACCCTCGTGGACTATGTGTCCACGTTTGTTAATTGTTCTGATAAGTCCCTATAATTATGAATTCAATTATTTGATGATTTTACATTCCATTAATGTTATTCAGTGATTTGTTTATAAATATTTATTTCATTTATGTACTTTCTTGGAAGCAAGCTCCATTAACATTTGCCGTGATAGTCAATGATTTAAGACCTAATTTTAAAATTTTACAGAGCTATTCTATTTTAAAATTTATTATATTTTTATGAAAGCTGTTGTCTCTTTGACTCACGCATTATTTTAATCTTTTCCTTTTTATTCAAGTTTTATTAATTATTGTTATGACATTATTCACTGAAAATTTTTATTTTGATCTTAGATACATTAGCTAATGTTGTGCTTTTCGCTAATCCTTGAGGGGCTGTAATATTCGATTGAGATGAAAAGTTGAAATCAAACTTCTTTAAAGTAAATTTCTTATGTCAGGTGCTCCACCTAAGTTATAGTTAAGGTCCTCATCCTTATAATTTATACTTTGTTATTTACTGATCGAAAGAGAATTCTTGCGGCTACTATTGTTTTGTAAAATATTAAATCTTTTGTTCATATAGTTTTTATTGAAGATGGTTTAATTTATTATCAAATGTCTTCATGGCTTTTAAATTAGAGTTTTCTTGAGTAAAGACTTAAGATATGGGTATTATCCTTATATTCTGTGCTGAACATGTTCTGTTTTCGAGGTGTAACAGGTATTTTTGAGGGCCTCATGTCAGGTAGAATGACTATATAAGAGATTTATCTATTAAGGAAATTGATAGAAAAATATTGATGTAAATGTAAAAATTTACAAATGGTTTTCATTGATTTGAAAAAAGTTTATAATTGTGTACTAAAATTTGGAAAGTCTTGAAAAAAAAAGAAGTCTAAGTTGTCTATATTAGAGTTATACAAAGTATGTATGAGGGGTCAACAAGCTAATGACTGATATAAAAACATCTGGTGATGAAATAAATGACTTTCATATAAGGACTCGATTATATTAAAGATAATCTTTGAGTCCTTATTTATTTGACATAGTTTTAGATATTTTGATTGAGTATATTCAACAAGAAATTTTCAAATACATGCTTTGTGTGAATGATATAATTTTTATTACGAAGACAAAAGAAAAAATTAACTACAAACCTGAGTTATGGAGGAGAACATTAAAATCGAAAGGTTTTCACTTAAATAGGAGTAAGATAGAATATTTACATTGTAATTTTAATAAGATATTAATTTGTAGTAATGGAAGTGAAATTAGGAGATTAAATTATATCTTAAATGAAAAAGTTTAGATATTTGAGAGTTATTATTCAATATAATGAAAAAATTAATGGAGATATTGCACATATGATGCAAATTAAAAAAAAGCTAAAAGAGTTATTTTTAATTGAAAGATACCTAATAAACTTAAGAAAAAATATAATTTTTAGTCCCTACATTTTGTACTCAATTTGGTATTGGTCCCTACGCTTTAATTTGGTGTTCTAAATCCTTACAGTTTTCTCCATCTACACTTTAAGTCCCTACACTTTCATAACGGTGCCGACGTGGCATTAATGATGTTAATTATGTTGATGTGGACAATAACAACGTGAATTATATGGTGACGTGTCAGTTAGTGGTTGATGTGTATTTTTTTGGAAGGGGGAAAAAGAAAAAAAGCTTATGTGTACTATCTCTGATTCTTATTATAAAACATTTTTAACCATTTTACGTATCTTAAAAAAAGTTAGTTTTTTTTCTTGATATCATAAAAAAATGATATGTACTTTTATTTCTACTTTTGGTTTTAAATAATGATACAACTACATTAAATACTTTCATTAATCAAGAAAGGGCCAAGTAAAATTGAAAAAAAAAGTAATTTAATTATTACAAAGTGTCATATATTTTGAACTAAAAATTTCTTCTAGAATATATCCTATAAATAAATCCTGAGGGAGTATTTTTTTAATAATTGAAAAGTGAAAAATTCTTGTCCTAACTTTAAACCTGAATAATATTATATATATATATATATATATATATATTAGAAGACAATAAATCATCCTGAACCTAAATATATATATATATATATATATTAGAAGACAATAAATCATCCTAAACCTAACCTTAAACTAACTTTAAAACACAGAATCACAGGAAAGGCTCTCTAAAGTATAGAATTATAGCAAACTTAAAAATAAACACGTGACATTTTTTGTAGCCTTAAACCCTACTTTTATATTTATAATAATTATTAAAAAAATACACATAAGCTTTTTTTTATTTTTTTTTCTCAGAAAAAAATACATATCTATCACTAACTGACACATCACCATATAATTAATGGTGTTATTATCCATATCAGCATAATTAACATGATTAATGCCATGTTAGCTTCCCTCTGAAAGTGTAGGGACCTAAAGTGTAGATGGAAAAAATTGTAAGGACTCAAAACAATGAAAATAAAGTGTAGAAATAAATAGTAAATCACGTGCAAAGTATAAGAATTGAAAGTTATGTTTTTCCTGAACTTAAAGAAAAGTTTTATCAAATTGTTATAAGATTAACTATATTCTATGATAGTGAATGTTAGAATTTAAAAGGATAGCATGAGCATAAAGTTGGAGTGATAAATATGAGAATGTTGATATGGATGTGCAAGCATATACATAAAAATAAAATTCAAAGTGAGCATATATGAGAACAAGTAGGCATAGCATCTAATGAGTAAAAAATGATAGAAAATCATTTAAAATTGTTTGGACATGTGCAAAAAAGATTGCGAGAGGCACCAATGAGAAAAATAAGATGGATACTCTAAATCCTACAAAAAAGGGTAAAAGGAAGTTAAATAGAACACTTATAAAAGTTTTTGATGACCGCTTAGTTAATAATATTTTTAAAAATTTAATAAATGATAAAACATAATGATAAAATGCAATTCATATAACCAATCTCATATAAAGAGATAAAATTTTTTGTTGCCATCATCATGATATTTACAACTTTAAAAGGCACTTTTTTTTAAAGTAAAGTGGGCTATGGCATTTTAATCATTTAGTAGGATTAGGATATACATGAAAATATATTTTAATTATTTCTAAAACTTTAGGAAAAGTCTTAATCCTAATGTGTTGTAGGTAGGGACATCAAATTCAACCTTATCAAAACTGACTCAGGGATAGAAGGCTATTGAAAATCAAATTCACCATTAAATTAATTAATGATAAAAATTTTAATCAAATTTTATTAAATAAAATATTTCATTAAATCGGTCAATATATTAATTTATCAATTTAACAGTTTAATCAGACGCCGGATTATGATAGAAGTACATTATTTATAATCCTACCTACAACACATTAGGATTAAGACTTTTTCTAAAGTTTTAGAAATAATTAAAATATGCTTTCATGTATATCCTATCCAAATAATTCATTAATAATTAATTGGCAATTATGCAATTTCCGTATTTTTGGTTTGGCGCTGATGAATCTTATCGTTTTTGTCTGACCAAACAGGCAAACACCAGATTGAATGATTCAGGAATGAATGAGGTGGTGTCTTCCGTTCCCCTGTGGCTTGATCGAGTAACGTCCGAGAATCTTTCTCACTATCTTTCCTCGTCTGCACCCCCAATTGTTATCCAAAAGAACTCCCAACCATCTCGACTTCGTTTTTCCGTAGCTGACTCTGCTGGTGCCCCAAAATTCTCGGCCGCTCTACGCCTCTCAATTTTAACACCTGGTGTTTCCATCAATTATTTGTCGCTGTGACGTTGATTCCCAGTATTATGGAAGCTGAAGAGATTGAAAGAGTTGGAAGATTCTGTTTTGTATCGAAATTGATTTTATCCGCTATTTTTGGGGCTCTCACGGGATGTATTGCCATGGGTAATGAAAGCTGTTTTCTTCTTCAACTTCGATTTTCATGTGGTCTAAGTGAATTGAATTATCCTTTGCTTATAATCTTTCTCTTGGTTGCTTCGGCTTCTTAAGAAAAATTAAAGACCCCCGTTTCATTTTCTCTTGGTTTCTATATAATTCTTGACCCTTGCTGTTATCAATTGGAAAACCGGGAGTAACTTGGATTGAAACTGGATTGAGTTATATCGTTGTTTGCTTCTTATTTCTCCAATCGATTATAGTAAAATTTCATTGTTATTTGAATAGCATCTCTTGTTGCTAATTTGTTAAAGCAGCATGTTTTATTAAGCTAACATCTGTCGGCATGCAATTCCCTAATGCAGCGGGAGCCATCACAGGAGCAATAGCTGGTGCACTAGCGAGTAGAGCTTCCGAGAGCGGTTTTCTCCGTGGAGCTTCATTGGGTGCCATTGCTGGGGCTATAATATCCGTTGAGGTGTTCGAAGCTTCCCGCGCCTACTGGTGTTTAGAGCAAAATGGCTCAAGGAGCTCATCATCCATGGTTGGTAGACCTTTTGCTCTGGAGTCTCAATTTTACCTGGATAAACTGTTTTTGCTCTTGATGACTGAATATATGTAAGTTGCAAATTTATATGGTACAACATGACTAGTCTTTTGCTTTAAAAGGTCCTTTCGGGAGATGTTTCTATGCCTTGTGTTTGTGTGTGCTTGACTGTTCGTTGGGTGATATCTTAAAGAATCTGGAAGGTGGTCTTAATTCTTTAGCAATAAATCAATTCTCTACCATTTGGATCCAGGCGGATTTCATAGAGCAACTTGTTCGTGGGAGGCTTGTAGAAGAACAATTTACGCCAGCTATACTAACTGCTTACAGTTGGCAGGTTGTTTTACTCCCTGTTTTCCCTGCTCATTTTTTTTTTCTTTTCTTTTTTTCCTGATGAGAGAGGGAGAGATAGCTCACTGTATCTGTGAATGGATGTAACTAAAAATGATGTTCACTGCCTTCCGCTGATGCAGCATGTGTTTGGGATTAAGTTTAATCATTTTATTGTGATTCCCGACTTATTTGTAACTATAGACTTGATATGTTATGATTCGCCTGATTGTCTTTCAATTGAATTTAACTTTTGGAACCGCTCATAGGAGACCGTTTGGATTTTCATTCTTAACATGTCATAATTTACTTTTTCCCCCATAGAACTAGAGAACCCTTTTGGTATTTTAGTCATGTTGATCGTTCTAAATGCTATATATTACTTGCAGATGTTTAGTGTTTAATTGTTGTTGCTCCTGAGATTTGTATTTCTGTCTGGAGAAGAATAGCTACTTTCAGATGTGTGATCAGTTTCTTTTATTTTAGCAGGTTGGGGGTGCTAATACAGGGGACGGTGAGATTCCTGAGGTTCATAGCTTAATTTCCCCTAGAGGATTGTCTGGGGATTCGTTGAAGAAGTTACCACACCATGTTATTTTAAAGGACACGAAGATGGAGAATCTCTGCTGCACTATATGTTTGCAGGTTCTACTTTTATGCTCATTTTGATTGCAATGTCAATATATAATTATATTAAAGAACAAAGAAGAGTCTATATTATTCATTGTTCACAGTGCACTCGGATTGCTTGTTGAATCCCAGTGCTCATCAGTAATCATCATATATGCTTATTCATTGGTTGGAGTTGTTACTTGCTTTGCTTGTGAATTAATGAGATAATATAACTCCAAAGATGCATTTTATTGAGCCGGCAGTTCCTAGAATTCTTATCTTATTATTCGACTTTTTCATCGAAGAAAGGTAAAAACAATGGTATTAATTATATTAAACAAAAATGAAATTTGCAGGATATTGAAGTAGGAGAAGTTGCGAGGAGTTTACCTCGCTGTCACCATACGTTTCACTTGAACTGTGTGGACCGATGGCTTGTCAAGAATGATTCATGTCCTGTCTGCAGACAATATGTATAGTTTATCTATTGTTCATTTTGAGCTCATATTTTTGGGCCTATGCATATTGTACAATATGTTTCTATATGCAAACGACGAGTTCCTTCAAATGGGAAGGGGATTTTGTACAGCTTAAAGTTAATAATGTAATTATCTTTGTTCGAATTATTGACTATTTAAGTCGTTGGGTCCCATGTCTACTCTGCTAGGAAGAATGAGTACTGGTAGTAGACACGACACGTAAATAAGATCTTTCCTTTTTAACAAAGACGATTCTAAATATTTTGATTCATTGGGGAAAACCTTATAGCATGCGTGCTTTGTTGGGCTAGGAGTCATTAATGGGCAAGCAGCCACAAGCTTTTCCGCTACTTATCAAATGCTCTAGTAACCAAAACCTTTCACAATTTTGAGTGTCCAAGTTGCATATGCCACACATATCTATGACTGAATTACTCATACACATCTCTGGTTTAGCCATTGTTTACAAGGAACAAAAGCATGGATTCATGCCCAACTGCGTTACTGAGAATCAATCAATTGATCCTCCGGAACAGTTACAAGGCCATGCTAGATTTCGCCCCCTGTTACTCTAAACCATGTCAATGTCTTCTGGAGTTTATGTTTCCTCCATATCTTCCTAAATGGACATTGGTGTAACAGTTGCATTAAAAGCTGCTTTTTTAAGGGCTTAACAAGCAAGTTGTTGTGTCATCAAGGCTACTACGTTGAACTAAAAGAACCATTTCAAGCCAATACGACTAAGCTTGTTTGATAAACTGAATTCAAGGGAAGTGACGCAATTATTTGTCCTATGGACACTGTTTACTCGTCAATAGATCATGTAATTAAATTTATCCTTGTATCCAAGAGTCAGACATAAGTTCCTAAATAAACTATCCTTCTCGTCATTTTGTTTACTCCCAAGAAGAGCCTACCTGTAGAATGACATGATCCCTGTCACAAACTGAAATTCAGAAACGAGGATGGGCATCTTCCCAACGCTCGGGATGAATATTTCTGTCCATGATCTTGGAGCAATGTTTAAGATATAAACAGCATCGAAATATTCATCTCCAGCAGCACCAAATGCTTAAGTTCCGATAATGACTAATTGAAGAAATTGTTAAATCTTCCTTCTAACTAATCTATTTTTCGCCCATGAAGCATATTGCATGTCTTAATATCTCGAAATGGATCATTGCCCAGAATTTCATGTTTCAGCACAAGCTACTGCTTCCAAGATCAGTGAATACCATATTCCATTAAATTCTCATAGCACATACGAGCTGACTTCAAATATCCACTTGTTTGATAGCCCCTAAGCAATACACGATGAATCAAAGTATTTCCCATGACACCCAATTTGAGCATATCCGCATGCAGCAACATCACATCTAGCATATGCTTGGACCGGAAATGTGCCTCCAGCATGTTGGCATAAACTAGCATGTCCGGTTGCAAACCACAATATCTCATATCTGCAAAAAACTTAGTGGCCTTAAAGATCTGTCCATCCTTACACAAACCTTGAATTATGATGGCGTACATCACGCTGTTTGGGGCAAGTATGCCATTATCCTCATCCAATTTATCCATATGATCTCCAGAGCAGGTAGCTCCTGTTCTCTCCAAGAATAGTTTAATTGCATCAGAAGTCCTTCCCTCTTTAAAAAGGCTATCAATTAAACAACAAACTGTAACTACATTGGGTGTGAATCCTGCATCTAACATCTCCTTGTACAGCCTGAAAGCCCCTTCTATGTTTCCATCCTTGCAATGCCCATCAATTAATGCCGTGTAAGCAACCACATCAGGCACAATACCTTTGATTACCATTTCTGTGTACAAACCCATTGCAGAATTTACGTTTCTTATCTTGCAAAACCCATCAATTAATGTAGAAAATGTGATGATATTTGGTTCTATTTTTCTTTCAGTCATTTGAGAACACACCTTAATGGCCATCTCCACATTGCCCTCTTTACAGTGTCCATCAATGATTGTATTGTATGTCACGGAATTTGCACGCACCCCTGCTTTCTCCATTTTCTGCAATATTTCATTAGCTTCTTTCAATCTACCTGAGTCACTCAGACCCTTGATAAGTATACTATATGTGAACACATCTGCCAAAACTTCAAACCTTTCCATTTCTATTTGTAATCGCATTGCTTCATCCAAGTTCCCAGCCTTGCAGCACCCATCAATTAAGGAATTATAAGTATAGGCATTAGGAACAATGCCAAGTTTTGCCACAGAAGCAAAACAGTTTTGGGCAGCTTTCATTTTACCCATTTTGCACAGAACATCTATCAGTATAGCAAATGTCACAACATCTGGGTGTAAGCCATGATGAAGCATGTCCTGAAACAAATCAAAAGCTCGTTTAGCATTAGCAATCTTGCCATAACCATCCATTAGAGTATTGTAAGTGTACGAATTTGGAACTACACCAGATCCTCTCATCAACTTAAACACGTCCTCTGCTTTTGCCAGTCTACCCTCATTGCAAAGGGCACGTATAAGAATAGTGTATATCACAACAGTCGGTTCAATCTGCCTCTCCACCATTTCATCAAACAACTTGTGCGCTTTGATTGTGTCACCTTGTGTGCAAGAACAATGGATTAATATGCCATACGTAATAACGGTTGGAGAAAAACCAAGAGACACCATGTCCTCATAAAACGTCCACACGCAATCAAATCTTTCTATCTTGACCAACCCATGTAAAAGTGCATTGCAAGCCTGCAACATAGGCAACATTCTCATCTGTTTATACACCCACAAGGCTTCCTCAACAATACCCATCTTGCAAAAGGCAACAATTAAAACTCCAAACACATCAGTGCTGAATTTAGAACTCTTCAGCTGAAAGAGAATGTCAAAGAGGAGACAGCATGCACTGTGGGGTTTTCGTGACTCTTGGAGCTTACGAAAGAGGTGTTTTGTCAAGCAACTGGCCTCACTATACTGCTTAGCCCCTGCTAAGATGTGAATCATAGCAGCATAAACCTGGGGATTCCTAGCTGCATTAATTTGCCTGGAAGCATTGTTGAAGTACCATAGTGCCTCCATATGGGTTCTGCAATTGAGAATGGTGTTGATAATGCATGAATCGGATGGAGACAATGTAGAAGAGGAAGAAGAAGACGACTGCGAGAAGGATATTGATCTCAATAATGTTGAAGAGTGGCTGGAATTTAGGGGGATGGCTTTTCGCCATATAAACATCAACATTGCTTTGATGACGGGAGGGAAATTTCTCTTCCATCTATTTTGCAGCTTTGATACATGCCATCTTTAACAACAAGAAGCTGCTATTCCCTGATTTATCAATTCACTCTGCAATAAAATCAGCATTTTTCAAAGATCTTACCACCTGAAGCACCAGTGATAGCGCCTATGAAAGGTCCCCGTAATAAATAAACAAAATTGTAGGCATGCAGGTGCCAGATTAAAAAAGAAAGATTCTCCAACATAACTTAAGTAACAACATAATCATTCAGCTCATATGAAGCACCGATGGTTAAAACAGTAAAAACTGGAGTCCTATGGTGTCAGATCTGCTCATGATCCAACACTTCAAATAAACCTTAAACACTACATGATTTGTTGTGTCAGTGCTGTTTGTGCAAGTATTCAAGCTTCTTAATTTAGCAATCCCCAAAATCATCAGCTTTGGCGACAGGAAGGCTTGAACATCAACGATTATATCGAAATATAGAATATTTTCACTACAACGATTGAAGAATTGTTAATATTAAACAAAGTATTCAGTGAAGAAACCCCTCCACTACAAGAAAATTCTCCCTTCTCTGTTTTGGTACAGCAATCGTCAAGAAGCCAATGTCTAGAGGCTAAACCCATAGTTATTGATGTCCAAGTAAAGGATTAAAACAGCACAAGTTATTTCTATGGCTACGGATGAAATTTGAAAAGAAAAAAAGAAATTGGTTTTTACCAATGGCTAAATAGCCTGTAAAAGCTAAAGCTCAAGAACTGGCGCATAGCATCTATCACAACACAGTACGAAATCTTCCAATTCCTTCCATTTCTCCAGATTCCACAACCCCGGAGCACGGACGAATGATCAACCGGCTGTGCGTCATCAGCGCCCTAGTAACATCAGCTGTCGGCCGACGGAGCTGCGACGAGAGAACTCGCGCCCCTCTGATGTCCGGTTTTGTTAAAATACTTTTTTCTTCGGTTTTCTTTGTTCTTTTTTTCTTACTTGTCTAATTGACTATTATTTGAACTAAATACTACTTTAACGACTAAAATATTCTTTTTAATAAAAAGACAACTATAATTAATTAGGAAAAGAAACAGTAGCATTATACAAATATTCGTGATGAGAATTAAATTTATTTTCACTAACTAAAGACTGTCACCAATTCAACTAGCTTCTTGATAACTTTTTAAACCAATAATAACCAAAATATAAAAGTAGATAATTAATGTTATTTCATAGCGTTTGTGTCTACTACCTTTATCAAAGAGATTGTTGATATAGTTAGGATTTTTTAAACATGAAGGTAATATTTGAAAAATTTAGTGACCTAAAGTCCTCTAAATCAATAATTCACTTAATAATTAATCTCGGTTCTTTCAAGAAAAAAAAAAAAAACTAAAGGATCAATAGTGAGTTGAGATTGCTTATGAATTCTTGCATTAATGAAGCTATAATCCTTGAAAAAGAGAATTATCATCTCTCTTAACTTTAAGTTACCAGAAATCTCATGGTAACTCAGAAAAAGAAACACTCCCATTCTAGCTCTAGCTTTGCAAGGTTTGAACTTCATACTTTTATATACACAATGCAAAATTGGCGCTATTGAATCAACAGCAGCTATCAAAAGTGATAAAAAGAGCCAAATGACCTTTTGGGTTACCTGAGAAGGATGAACTTCTTTTTGTTGATGCTTGGCTAAATTCCTGAACTCGCAAATTATTTGTATTGTTAAGAGAACCTCCTTAAGAATATGCATATTAGATGGAATTGATTCAGCCGACTTGATCTACAAAGATGAAATTGCTAATAATCTCCATATCATTTGATCTTAACAAAGAAGATGATGTGTACCAAACTACTCTTGCAAAGTCACGAAAGAGAAATGTATGATTCAAAGACTCGCTATGATTATTACAAAGTGGTCAAACTAAGGATACTTGCAGATCATGCTTCCGCAAAATATTTGGATTTGGAATAGCTTCATTCAAAATCTTCCAAATAAATAGCTATGTACGATGAGGTAGTTCAATTCTTCACAAGAACTTCCAACTGATGTCAAGTGAAGGAGCATTAGCAATTGATGGGGCTTGTGAGATCAGATGGTATCCTTTATTAGCAGAATAATTAATTGTTGAATAATACCGGCGGCAAACGTGTGTAACAGCAAACTCCTGACTGGTTGCTTGAGTCGTGCCCAGAAGGACACTGTCCTTAAGAACTATTCCGGCACACCCTCGGACGGCCGGCAGTTCCCCAGAATTAAACAAGCACTTCCTCGGTGAAACGAGGGAACAGAACAACGGAGACCAAACGTAATTACAGACAGATAGATTGGCAGAGGGAGGAAGAGAGAACCGTGAGGACTCAAGAGGCTTCTGTATTTCGCTCTGTCTGAACCCATGGCTATATATAGCCTGAAGGTGGACATGAACGTTGGGAGGTTACCACCGGTTTAAAAGCTCGGTTACAGTCTCATAAAAATTATTTAAAAACTTGTCTGGAAACGTTGGAGTTACACAAAACGCATTCAACTCTGGAAACGTTGGGAACGTTTGGGAAGACAACCGTTTAGAAAAAATTAATTTGTTTAATGAAAAAAAAACGTTCTTGGTTTGACTTCAAACTCCAGACAGCCAAAATTTGAGTTTCTCCGGCAAGCCAAAATAATTATTTATTTATAAAATAATCCGGTAAAAGGAACCCACTACCTCTTGAACTCGCGCGCAGGGGGGGCGAATCGGCTGATTTCAACTGCGATTGCCCTGAGTTGGCCTGTCTCATGTGCACGAGGCCACTTCTCTTCCAAGCCCATTTTACTAGCCCACTTCATTCCTTAGTATATATACACTAGGAGAGTCTTTCTTTTAATCAATGTGGGACTTTGACACACACACACTTTTGACACACATACAACATTAATTACCTTGAATTGACTTCGTCCATATCAAGCAATCTTCCTAGTTGAAGAAAGAGAGTGTTGTGCTTAAAATTTCCTCTCTGACTTAGCTGTCATATAAAGAATTTAAACACTGCTCTTTCCATGCAGTGCTTCCTCATCGAAAAGATCGGCCATAGTGAGATTCTTATTAATTGAGTTGTCTCCCAAGGGAAACCACTTTGCGTGGTGAATTGGAATCGGAGTTCCATCTTCAGCCTACCATTTCATGTTGTCGGAAATCGCATAGGTAACCTTAATAATTTCCTTCATGATCCAGGAATAATGATTTTTTTGGTTTGCAATCACCTTTCAGAATTGAATTCAGATATTTGACTTTCAAAATTTTTCCAATAAGAGAATTATCATCCATAGAAACAGTTCTCCAAGATCGCTTTGCAAGTAAGGCTTTATTGGCTAAATGGAATGGTCTAAGACCAAGACCACCAACGCTATTAGATTTAGTGCCTGTTTGAATTTCAGTTGGGTATAATAGATTATGAAAATAATTGATTATATGATAGATTTTAATTATAATTGATCATACTATAATGCAATTTGTTTAAATACTTATGCTAGTACTTTTTTAAGGATTCAAAGCTTGAATTTTACTAAGAAAAAAAAGAAGAAAAGAGAGTTTTATTTTATTTTTATTAAATTTTGTGCTTTTCTTGTGATTTTTTTCTTGGACCTTCTATGTAATTTTCTCATAAAACTTTGTAAAAAAAAAACGCTGGAGCGCAGAAGTTGAATCATGCAGCTGTGGGAAAAGAATGTTTAGATAAATTTTGCTTTAATTGATTTTTTGACTCCTAAAATTGATTAATCCCTCAATCCAAACAGGCACTTACAAAGGCTCCTCCAAGATGATAAATGCATTCTTTTGCTTCCTTCAAAAGAGTATCCCCAGAAGAAGTTTGCACAAATAGAATCAAGTTTTGATACAAGATTCTTTGGTAAGAGAAAGCAAGACAACTGATAAATAATTGAAGAAACTAAAATAGACTTGATAAGAGTCAATCTTGTAGCTTGAGACAAGGGAGAAGATTTCCATCCACCAAGCTTACATTGAAATTTATGCAAAAGCTCCCTAAAAATTTAGTGTCTTTCAACTCCATTATTAATAAACATACCAAGATATTTTCCAAGAGAGGAAGTAAATCGAACATTAAGCATCTTGGCCCACTTGGCCCACTTATCTTCATCTTCAAGAGAAGAATTTGGACTAACAATGACCTCAAATTTGTTGAAATTAACTTCTTGGCCAAAAAAGTAGTAGTAATTCTCAATAGTACTCCTCACATTTGATAGTGTGTCTCCAGCTTTGAAGAAAAGTATAGCGTAATCAGCATGGCTATGATGAATTATTGGAATTGATATTTCATTTTAAATCTAATGATAAGCTTCTACAATTCATTTGCTGCAGAGTAACGCTCTGCTAGGGTTTTGGCCCTTCCCTTATTTCTGAGGGATCTTTGCAAGGCGAAGTGATATTGTTGGTGGCATCCTTCTCTCAACATAAGTTGAGTTTGAACAGATGTTTGATTAAGATGTGGGTGGTGTAGAGTGTGGGTGTTTCAAATCTCTAGTGGCAACTTGGGGCTTTGGTGGATTGATTGGGTGAGGGACTTCAAGGGACGCAATCTTGAAGGTATCGTGACGCTGAGGATCTTTGATGTCTACCTCCAGGTGCTAAGAAGATGAAATTTACCATTTAAAAATTGTATAAATTGATGGTATGGAGGTATCTTGACAACATTTCAAAGGCTAATGATCTTTATTGGGTGCTGCCAGACTCTAAGATGAGGGATTGCTCTAACCTTCATTGGTAGGTTGCGCTTAGATTAGCAACATCAAAGTTTGGATTGTGGATTGGGATATTCAAAGTAACGACAGGTTTCAAGATTTCAACAATAAGATTGCCTGTTTTGGGTTTCAATATTGCGGCAACAATAATATCCTCTCTCTCTCATAGAGTATGTTTGATTATTGGGCATTGATTATGGTATGGTTGACTTCTTGGATTGATTTAGTGTGGATAGGGCTTGTGGAAGCCTTTGTTTTCTAGATTTATTATTGTCTATTTTGGTGCTTAATGGTGAACGAGCTATGTCTGTAGGGTTGAACATTCTTACAACTCTAGATTGTTATGTGTGATGTTTTGGAGATTGAGAATCTTAACTATAAGAAAGTGGTGTTACATCTTTTGCTTGAAATATTCCTCTAGTGTCTTACCGAGATTTAGATTTCTTCTAGTTATGTTTTGGCAGACTTGTTTAGGCTTTTTGGAGGCAGAGTTAAAAATGATTTAAGGTGGGTTCTCCCTGGTAGCATGATTGACAAATCTGATTTGGTTGTAGATTTTATGTGGGAGTTGAAAGTGTTTGATAATCTTCCTCAAGTCAGGACCCTCCTCAAGTCCCTCCAATGTGGGATCTGACAAGCAGCTCAAAATAGAGATAAGTAGTTACTATCAAAGATGGCTTCTTTAACTATCCTATTGTAAAATTGCAACAACTTCTTGTACTTTACACCTTTAATATGAATCTTTACACACTTCAGCAAGTAACTGTAAGAAATGAATTTGTAATTTTAATAGACTGGATAGCAATTTCACTCACACTCTCTCTCTAACTTTATTAGAATGAAATCAAGTGCCTTTAAATTATTTTTCATAGTAATTCCATTATCTTTTTAATCGTCTAGGCGATACAATATGATTATGAAGGACATAGCCATAAATGCTACCAAAGAGAATATCACCTGAAACTATGTAAAAAACTTATCTTCAGTGAATTTGATGCTCCAGAACTTGGTTCCTTTCCATAACCTGGGACATTTATAGGTGCATTCCTTTCATTAGATCACATATCAGTGGAAAGCTAATGAGTTGACCAAAGAGAGAGACAATTTTCACTGCAAGCACAAGGAATATTATAGGCAATTAAAATGTTCAGACCAAGTAGACAGACAAATACAAAGTTATCATCAAATCATTCAATTCGAATGATGGATTGAATGTTGACAACACTGTATAAAG